TCGTAATGGGGCTGGTGCAAATAAATCCAATGGTGCAGGCAGGCAGTCGAAGACTCAGGAGGAATCCATCCATCCATTATCTTTACCCGCTTATTCCATTTTTGGGTCACGGGGGTCGCCAGAGCCCATGTCCAGCAATCACTGTGCGAAAGGTGGGGTACACTCTGGACGGGTTGCAAGTCTATCACAGGGACACATAGAGACAAACGAGACAAACAACCATTCACGCTCTCACTCATACCTAGGGACAATTTAGAGTTACCAATCAGCCTAACATGCATGTTTTTGGTATGTGGGAGGAAACTGGAGCACCCAGAGAAAACCCACGCATGCACAAAGAGAACATGCAAACTCCACCCAGAAAGTCCCCCAGACTGGGGTTTGAACCAAGGACCTGCTCACTGAGAGGCAGCAGCTCTACCAGTCGCGCCACCGTGCTGCCCACTCAGGAGGAATATTAAATAAAAATATTTATTTACAAAAATCAAAGGCTGTCGGTGCAACAAAACTTACATCCTAACAAGAAGTTCACAAGGAACAAAGCAGAACATCACCAGTGGACATATAACAATGCCAAGACAAGGACTAACACTGACACAAACTTATATACAATGACTAACGAGAAAAAAACACCTGTGAGGACACGCAGCTGAAACACATCGGGGAAATTATAAACTGGGAAACCAAGGAGTGCAGAAAGAGAGACACAACACCAGATGGAGCGAATACACTAGGAAAATGCAAACCCTATAGAAAACAGAAGCTGAGGATCAGGAGCACACAAAACATAAACAAAACACAAGATAGGGCTAGACACCAGGAAACAAACCACAACTCCTACACTACATATATATATATATATATATATATATATATATATATATATATATATATATATTTCTCTCGCTCTCACTTGAGGTGGCTCCTCGACTTCCCTCTCCCGTTTTTTCTCCTTCCCCTGTTTCGCTTTCTGTGTGTCTGAAGTGCCTGGTTCACATCGCCTGAACATAAATTAAGATTATGGATCTGGTATCCTGGACATTCAATGCTATCAACAGGATTTTTTCAACAAAACGACAAGGTCCCGGAGAGCCTGCGTGTCCAGCTGAGACGCGTGCTGTGGGGTACGTCATGGACTCGTGGGGAGTGTGGCAGCTTATCTGCCTCTCAGTTCTGTCTCAGGAGGATGCTGAAGACATTTACATATTTGGATTTATGATAGCAGGGACTCTGCTTTTTGGCATCGGTGGGACTCTGTTTTATCGACTATTGAAAAAGACATCGGCAGCAGTTTTGGCCATTACAAAGCTTCCGAGTCAGTGTGAAGGTTTGATCCGTGCCGTGAGTTCTCATAATCAGTTGATTTACGAGCTAAACCGTAAGGTGGAGATGATTTATGAGAATCGCAGGCCACCTGCGGCTTCTGGGACTCATCAGCGCAATGGGATCGACTTTAAAGGAGACTCATAACATGGATCTGTGGAATGGATTCCCACAGTTAGGCCTATTTGGAACCAGAATGCCCAGATGGACTCAAGGCTGAAGAAAAATAATATTTCTGCCTTAAGAAAATCAACAATCAAAGCTGATCTGAATCTGACTCCCTGCCAGCCTCAGAGACGGGCCGACTATCAAATTTCACATTTCTCCTGGCTGTCAGCTGAAACAACATCTACAGAAACTGTGGCTGATCTGAAAAGCGCTCATAGACTAATCACAACACCTCAAGGTCAAATGCATATGTAATCATGTTTTAATTGTGCTTGCTGGTAGTTTTTTTGATGTCTCAAATCATGTCCTGATAGACAAGATGTGAAAGATCATTTTTTTGTAATACCACTATCTACCCTCATGTTTCTCCCCCTTTTCCTATATAAGATTATTATTCTGAAAAAGGATAAGAAAGGCCACACTTAGTTATAGTAGCAGCTTCGTGCACTCGGTCCATCTTCCGGATGACTGCATATACATGTTCTCATTGTATCTCGGTACAATGATAATAAAGCTTATTCTGATTCTGACATAAATAGAATTTAAACTATTAGAGAATTCCATGTGTATATTCATACCAACTTTCCATTTTAATATTTGCATGAACAGTCACACATCTTTTGAAATTGAACTTGTTTTAGGACAACAGTTATCCACTTGGGTCTTGCCTCATTAAGAATAGCCATTGGCTCTTCAGTCCTGTCAAAATTATACATCAATTTGATGTTGTTCAAAGATAATAAATATAGGTGATAAATTAAATGTTCACAGCTTTTCCATAGAACCATTGTTCAAAATTTCTTAATGGGTTTCTTGAATATATTTTATGTCTACAGAAGTACCAATGTGATACCTTGTGTTTTACCTGTAATATAACTAATTTAGCTCTGGTGCCAAAGTTCTGCTTCCTTGCTAGTCAAGGTGCCTGTGTTCTACCTGAATTGCGCGTCAGATCGTGTCCTAACCCTGGGATGTCCTGGTGCTCATCCGGATATGGCTGTGGCCTGGGATCAAGGATTGAAACCGATCTACAGATCAGAGCACACATTTAGGGGTGATGTTAATGCCAACCCTCCGAGGCTGCAGATCGATATGGGACACCACCTGCTCTTCCAACCAGCAAAAACCCATGACTCAGGTATGAGCCACTGTAGTGGTTTCTGTCCATCTCCATCTGCCAGTTCACATGCTGTTTTCACCAGTTGTTTAGGAAGCAAAATCTTTGCTTCTGCTGACATATTTTGCTACTTCATGTTCTGGATTTTTGTTATATTTTAGTAGATGAATCCTAATTAAACTTACAGAAATCAAGCATTGGATGTACATTTATAATTGCTTACCTTTTGGAATTAACCCAAGTCAAAAATGGCCACCACAACTAGTTGAGAGTCATCCTTGAAACAAACTTTGATAGTGACAGATACTGTATACATTCAAGGCTTGACTTTGACAGATGGTGGTCAATATGTATTTCTTCAAGATATGCCAGGCCTTTATCTTTTAAAGAAATAAATGGCCTCCAAAAACAAGATATTGGATCATTGACAGGTTGGCTTCATATTCAGTAACTTTACTCTGTGGAATGTTGGTTACATATTGTAACCCCAGATTCTATGAGTATAGGCATAGCCCTTTTAGGCTGTCACTAGTGGGTTTATCCCTGCGCGCAGCGTGCCAGCACTGAAAACTTTAGTCCATGCCAACATATTGTGTGGGCCCCACCCCCTATAAAATGCCTCTGAGACTGGGGATCAACTCCCAAATAGTGTTATTTTCTTCAGCCATTTAGGAGTCAGTGAGGCCCAGTTCTTAAAGGGCTATGCCCATACTCATAGAATCTGGGGTTACAATACGTTCAATTTTGTATAGGCTTTGCCCTTTAAGGCCTTCGCTAGTGGGTTAAGGTGAAGCAGAAGATAGTCCATGCCTCACTGGGTCCATCCGAAACCATACGCACCTAGTTATCTACTTAATATATTAATGAGCACGTTGAACCCTGGTTTGCATGTAATTATGCGTCACCGAGTCTGTGCACCTAGTACACACTGAACAGTAGAGAGGAGCATAATCTCTGTATCAGTTGAAAGACTAAGGTGTCAAATTCTGCTGCTAGGTGGCGGAAGGGGCAAATTTTGCCGCAACATGGAGATTGCAGTGTCAAAAAAATCACTGCTGTGAGAACTAGCCGTCACAATTCTCAGTGTTTAGACCCATATGCAGGCAGGCGAGCGAGGCAGGGGTTAAAATAAAATAAAGTTATTTAAACAACAAAACAAAACGCTGTCGATGCAACAAAACTTACTCTGGAAAAACACGATCAGCAACAAGACTGAACAGGGCATCAGAGTAAATGGATAGAGCAGATCATCAGGTGGACAAAAACAGACAGGGCAGAGGATGACTGAGATGTCTGAGTGAATACAGAACAATGACCGGACGAAGAGTGGAGGAGAGAAAGGCTTTTTTATAAGACAGAGGGAGAGTGAGTAATGAGAGCACCTGGGCAGGTGGCTGATGAGACAGGTGTGAATGATTAAGACTGAAGAGACTGGAGAGGCAGACTGAGGAGTGAATGGAAAGTGACAGAAAACAGAATCACAGAAAATTATAAAGAACTGAATGACATAAACACAATAAGCAGAAAAGGGGAAGTCAGAAATACCAGACAGCTAGGGGACAGACTGTGACATAACCACCCTTTCAAGGGACGTCTCCTGACGTCCCCTAGGACCCCAACACAGAAAAAACACAGAACAGGTGGGAGGACGGGGGAAACATAAGGACGAAGGGCATAGAAAAATCTAAACAATAACCGACAGGGCTATACCAGGGAACAAGAGGTACCAGCACACAAATTTTCTAAGAATGGACCTGGGTATCATTCGGAGTAAAAGGCAAAACAGGTGGACAACCAAAAATATAGTTGTCTTTAACAAGGCCAGAGTTCAGGTTGATGGCCAGAGGATCATCCAGAGCGGGACCAGAGTTCAGGCAGACGGCCCAGGGACTGTCCAGAGCGGGACCAGAGTTCAGGCGGACAGTTCAGAGGCCGTCCCAAGCGGGACCAGAGTTTAGGTGCCACAGGGGAGGCTGCGACTGCAGATAAGACTCCAGAGAACAAAGGAGTGGGACCAGTGATTATGGACGTGGCCGAGGATGGACCAGAGGTGATGGTAGTGGCAGTTGTCAGGACAGATGGGACATCGGCCATTGCTGGGTCAGGACGGGGTTCTGCTGCTGCTGAGTCAGGATGTGGTTCTGCTGCTGCTGGTTCAGGACGGGGTTCTGTTGCTGCTATGGTGCCGGGCATGGGTTCTGCTGCTACAGTGCCGGGCCTGGGTTCAGCAGCCTGGGAGTCAGGCCTGGGTTCAGCAGCCGGGGACTCGGGCATGGGTTCAGCAGCTGGGGAGTCGGGCATGGGTTCTGCAGGTGGCAAATCCGTTGTGGGGTCAGCTGGTGGCAAGTCTGGTTTGGGACTGGGTTCAGCAGCTGGGGAATCAGGCCTGGGTTCAGCAGTTGGGAAGCCAGGCCTGGGTTCTGAAGGCGGCAAGTTGGGCCTGGGTTCTGTAGGCAGCATGTCCAGCGTGGAGTCTGCTGGCGGCGAGTCCGCATGGGGTCTTCTAGTGGCGAGTGGGGTCTGCTTGCGGTGAGACAAGAAGAGCCGGAGCGGGTGTGAGACCAGAAGAGCCAGAGCTGGTGGCAAGAACAGAAGAGCTGGAGTGGGTGGCGAGACCAGAAGAGCTGGAGCGTGCGTCGGGACCAGGAGAGCTGGATCAGGTGTTGAGACCAGAGGGGCCGGATCAGGTGTCGAGACCAGAGAGGCCGGATCAGGTGTCAAGACCAGAGGGGCCGGATTAGGCAATGAGACCAGCAGCTCTGTAGCAGGAAGGGCCCCAGGAACTGAGTTGGGGGCCCCTTGAGCAGAACTGACCAATTTAGGCAGAAAGAGGGCTTGGGGTTCGGTGAAACCGGCTTGAGTCCCTTGTTGACCTCTGTTTCTGCGGTGGTGAGGAAGAAGACAAGCAGAGAGGTTCTGACCCTGGATACCCACTGAGCAAGATGGTGTCACAGTGTCTTCCACAGCACCCACTGAGACACATGGCAATGAGTCCGAAGGGGAGACCATTCCATTCACTAATAAGGGGTGCTCGGGATGACCGGGGGGCGGGGCATATGGCAGGAGAAGAGAGCGCAGCACATGTCTCTCATTCCAAGCTTGAGAAAAAAGTTCAAACACCCCCGGTTCATAGCCTTCTAGTTCCAATTGAGTAAACACGTTAACAACATCCTCAGTGGCCATCAACCTCTTCCACAGATCCTTGGGGGTGGCCCTGGTGTCCAGATAATTATTTGTTACCTGGCAGAGTTGCTCATGTTCATGCTGGCGCTAGGAGCAGAATGAAGAACCTGCTGGGTCTGGTCTGGTCATTCTGTCACAATTCTCAGTGGTTAGACCCATATGCAGGCAGGCGAGCGAGGCAGGAGTTCAAATTAAAATCTTTTTTAAACAACAAAACAAAATGCTGTCGATGCAACAAAACTTACTCTGGAAAAACACGATCAGGAACAAGACTGAACAGGGCATCAGAGTAAATGGACAGAGCAGATCATCGGGTGGACGAAAACAGACAGGACAGAGGAGGACTGAGATGTCTGAGTGAATACAGAACAATGACCGGACTGAGTGGAGGAGAGAAAGGCTTTTTTACAAGACAGAGGGAGAGTGAGTAATGAGAGCACCTGGGCAGGTGGCTGATGAGACTGTTGTGAATGATTAAGACTGAAGAGACTGGAGAGGCAGACTGAGGAGTGAGTGGAAAGTGACAGAAAACAGAATCAGAAACAGAATAACACAAAATTATAAGAACAGAACGACATAGACACAATAAGCAAAAAAGGGGAAGACAGAAATACCAGACAGCTAGGGGACAAACTGTGACACTAGCAGGTTGGATAGCTTTGATGAGAGCAACTGCATTATCATTCAGACAGAACTCTGAGACCCGAGTGGGTCAGAGACAAAACTGGATGTACCACATAAGGTTCGTGCATAATTACGCATCACTGAGACTGTGCGTATAGTGTGCGCTGAACAGAAGAGAGGAGCATATTATCTGCATCAATCTGAAGCTGAGGTGTCAAATTCTGCTGCTATTCGGCAGAAAGGGCAAAACTTTGGCATCAGTCTGAAGGTTGTAGTGTCAAAATCCCTGCTGTTGAGATAATGAGCAGGTTGTAGAGCTTCAATGAAAACAACGGAGTTGTCATTCAGACAGAACTCTGCATGTAATAAGATGGATAAAAGAGCTGGTTGAGGACTAAGAGACTGCAGTACAGGACCTTGAAAGCTGAAATTTATTCTAGTGAAAGAGCCCTGAGCCTGTCTGGAGACTAGGATCCAAGATAAAAATAAAATAAAAAAACAGCCCACAACCATTGTGACAGACACTGGGCAATCAAGTGTGTTGCTGTGATTGATTTCTGGGAAACATGACCAAATGCTTGGAAATCTTAATTTGGCTGTGCACGTTACATAATGGCAAGTGTGCACACCAAGAAAAACAATGAAGCATTGTTCCCTGCTCAGGGTTATGTGAAGGGCAAGGCATCATTCAATGTAATAACTCTATAGATTTGGACTCAAAACTCGTGGTGTTTGACCTAAGGTTCAAACGAAAAAGGTTTGTAGGCTCAATCATCCAGATAGATAACAAAAGAAGGTTAAATCATTTAATCTGGACCAGTTCAAAGTGTTTGCTTAATCATGCAGAGCAGGCGCTAAGTCAAGTAATGGAACCAGCACGTGTAACACCAGTCCGCGCATGTCCTCAGGAAGCAATTCTTAGCGAATGATTAAAAGCCCTCATGTCATTAGAGCGCTTATGACAAGAGGAAGAGCTGCAGCATACGATTTAATCATGCTGAAAATCAGGTTTCTGTTCATCAGTAGCTGCAAGATAATATGCAGCTCACGACATAAAAAAATGTAACAAGCTGCCGTAAAACAACAGGTGTGCTCTGAATCGGGTGTACCACATCCTGGGGAGACTCATTTTCCCTAAGCGCTTCTGTTCAGCAGCCGGCCAGGCACGCTAACATATCACCAGGATGTTCCAAACTGTTCTTCCGTCTGTGAGGAAAAAACTGTCCGCCACGACAGTGGCCACGGACGATCTTGATAACGGTTGTTGCAAACACGGGAACTGTTATGTGTCCACTCCTTGGAACAGTCAAATTATTCTCAGCTGTTCTCTTGCACCCAGTTCAAAGGCGTGGGATTAGCAGAACCGGAAGAAATGCTTAATGCTTTGCTCTGTCATGGCGGTGCATGAATATGTCCATTCCCTACGTGGAATACCGTACTGCTGCTCGGTAAGACAGAGCTCGTATTGAGCGCTTCTCGTGTGACTGGCAGACTCACTGATGGGTGTAATTGTGTGCACACATCCAACACAATAACTGTCCGTGTGCATTAGAACGTGCATGCAGCAGCAGTGGAGCAAAGTGTTGGACCACCACCCACACTGTGAGGAGCTCCAGCCGGCTAGACTGCAGAATCACCTGTACAGCGGGTCCACGGGACCATATGTGCACTGCTGATGACATGTTAAGTAGATGCGTGATTGACCGAACTGTCACTGAGCTGTGAAGCCATACTTCATTCATTCAAACTTTATTTATACAGTTCAGCAGTGAACTGGGCACACACTTCTGTTGTGGTTAAGCTTCTACTGTTTTATGACCATGTGGATTACCCCATGTTGGCCTTGTAATAATGATAATTACACATCGTTAGTGATGCACAGAGTCGATGCCGAACTCAGTTGGGGGGGG